TAGACCTCAAGATTTTGACATATACTGTGGTTTGATTAAACACTTATTATGTGATGGGTTTATCTAAAAAATATAAGAGTTTTGAAAGTAAGGAAACGTTTGAAAAACTCACATTGATATAGGGTCCGCCCACTGCAAATTACAGCTTGCGAGGTACCAATATCCGTTGTCGTGAACACCCAGCGAGTGTAGTTGTTCCCCATTAGGCACAGTATATACACAATTAACCTACTCGTTTTCAAACCGACGCTTTTAATTTCAAGAAACTTCACACGAGTTGAAATCACGAAGATTCTATTTAGGCAAAAAAAGTCTCATTTCATTCATTATATTGCTTACTTGAGTTTTAAGAACTGTGATTAGTCACAACATTAATTTAATTGTCTTGTGTTTCATCTCGTTTTACAAGAAAAGCTACCATGTTGTTATGGAAATATTGTCAGAAATATTTCAACCACCAGCGAAATTATAGAATGCTTTTAAGAAATTTAAAAGGCATGGTGATACTTACATTGTTGTTGTGTTAACTATAATAAATGGACCAGATTGGTGTTAAAATTGTTGGATGCAATTTACAAGAGTGATAGATGTAAAAGTTTAATTACATAAGCAAATAAATAGAAGTGATGTATATATATATATGATGGCTTTTGGGGGATTGGGCGAAATTAGGGAGGGATGGAGGGGGTGTTGTTGTGGCGAATTGGGCGTAGGTAGGGAGGAACGGAAGGGGTTGTTGTTGTGGGGGATTGGGCGTAGTTAGGGAGGGGATAAGGGGGTGTTGTTGTGAGGAATTGGGCGTAGTTAGGGAGGACGGAGGGGGTTGTTGTTGTGGGGGTTTGGCCGTAGTTAAGGAGTGACGGGGTTGTTGTTGTTGTGGGGAATTGGGCGTAGTTAAGGAGGGATGGAGGGGGTTGTTGTTGTGGGGGATTGGGTGTAAATAAGGAGGGACGGAGGGGGTTGTTGATGTGGGGAATTGGGCGTAGTTAGGGAGGGACGGAGGGGTTGTTGTTGTGGAGTATTGGGCGTTGTTAGGGAGGGACGGAGGGGGGCGGGTTGTTGTGGGGTATTGGGCGTTGTTCGGGAGGGACGGAGGGGGGCGGGTTGTTGTGGGAGATTGTGCGTAGTTAGGGAGGGACGGAGGGGGTTGTTGTTGTGGGGGATTGAGCGTAGTTAAGGAGTGACGGAGGGGGATGTTGTGGTGGGGGATTGGGCGTAGTTAGGGAGGGACGGAGGGGGGTTGTTGTTGTTGTGGAGGATTGTGCGTAGTTAGGGAGGAACGGGGTTGTTGTTGTGGGGATTGGGCCTAGTTAAGGAGGGACGGAGGGGGTGGGGTGGGGTTGTTGTGAGGGGACTGGGTTAACAAACCAACATATCGCTTAGCAGTCCTTCCATTGACTTCGAGTCTGACGCGGAACGCCACGGACTTGGGACAAGACCCACGCAGCCTTCTTCTCGCTCGATTTGGCTTTATGAGTACTATTGTAAGCATGTATGACAAAACATTAAATGCAGAGCTATGGACTATTTTACCACAAATTAAACGATACAGACTTCCAGTCTTTTGACGCAGAAAATAAGATGCCTTGCGCTGCTTTCACACATTCCTTTGCTCAGCGTTTTCATGCTGTATTTGTAAAATACCATCCTCGATACTCCAGGGGTTACAATCACTTTCGCTCTCTGCACCTCTAGAACTTGTTAGGCAAAATTGAAGTCACAGGCGAAGTAATTTGATTTGTTCTAGGAGAAAATAAATTGACCAATCACAGGCTGATACTCCTTTTGAAGATCACAAAGGAGCGACATCAAACTTCAAAGCCATTACAGTAAGCGTTGTGCGACCTCGATGTTCAGTTTGATGTACACCAAAGGACCAAACTAGTCTTTTTGTTTTGTCCACAAGGTGTCGCACACTGCGAAAGTGATCGTAATCACAAGATTTACAATATTTCAATACAATGAAAATTTCATTTTGGAGCTTTTTTGAAACCATTCCATTGAGAAATCCTCTGCTTAATCAGTCTTTTCTCTTAAGAATCCTCTTTTATTAAGAAGCCTTTACATTGGAGACGACACAACCTTTGAGAAGATTTCCCGCTGAGAACGTCTCCCTTTCATAACCCCTTCGCTCCCTTTCAGGAACATTTGTATTACGAAAACTCCTCTTTAAATTACGTCTTGCCCCTTCAAAGCCCCCCTTTACGAAGCCCTCATTTGAGGAGCCTAGTCCCATAAGAAACCCTCGCCTTTAAGAAGCTTCCCTGGAAGGTTCAAAGGCCTTTATAGTGAACGTATACCCCATTAAATAAATAGATAAAAACAAATGAAAAAGACCCTTTCTTTAAGAAGCCCCTCCCTGTTACAGGAAGTCACTCCATTTAAAAGGTAATTCCCTTGAAGAATCAACTACATTTGAAAAACCCAATCATTTCAGAAGCTTTTGGCTTTAAGGTCACTTTGAGAGAGATATTTCCTTAGAGAAATACCTTGCCTATGGAAAGTCCACTCCTTTAACAAGCCCCTTCAATTGAGAAGCCTTCCCCTGTAAAAAGCAAAAGCCCCATCATATCGGATGCCCCGCCCTGTGAGAAACATCTTACTAGAAGACTGACCATTTGGGTCGGTCTTCGCTTTACAAAAAAGCCCTATCCTTTGAGAAACCAATTCCCTTTAAAATCCTCTCTCTTTGCGAGATCCCTGAAATTATGAAGAATTTGCGGAATCGATCGTTTGTGTTCCTTACTTGGGGACTGCAAACTAATCAAAATAAATCTACAGCACCTCTTGCAATATTTAGAAGGCTTTTAATTATTTACCTGTCTTGGTGCCCCTTTCAATTCGTCTGCCTAACTAAGAAATTCATCAGTTTTGTCCTTGACACCCACAGAGACGAGAAAGGTTATGGGTTGGCCGTAGACCCAGGCTCTCTACTCTGCTTCTTGCTCTTCCTGGTGGTCAGTTTTAAATGGTAGTCGACGATATGATGGGGGTGGGAAGGGGGGGGGGGTAGGGGGGGGAGGTTAGTAACAGTGTTGATGTGGGACTCCATGGGACTCATATTACCGCATACACAGCAGTAGTGACTACATCATAGACACCCTGTCCTTATCCGGCATTATCATAGACTAGAAACGGATATCTATTGAGAAAATTGATCCCAAAGGATTTCTCGGTCCCTGAAATTCGACTTTATTTCAAAGTTAACACTCTGAAGTCGGGATATAATGTATTTTACCAGAGAGTGAGGAGGTCACAAATGACTTTCCATAGTTTCCTCTTCCAAACTCACGTGCAGAAATATGAACATGCATTAAATGTGATTTTCATACTCGTTAAGAAACGATATTTGAATTCATTTCGGATTTTTTTTTTTCTTAACAGTGTTTACTGAATTCATTGATAGGGAGTATCCATCAATTCCACAACTCGCTTGATGGGTTTAACAGACGACTTTCTGTATTCCACCTTGTCAATGAACCGTGAAAAGAGTATGATTTTTACTACAGAACGTTAATGAAAACCTAGTCAATAGCATTATCAACTTCGGTAGGCTGTTAGACGTGTAGATGTACACGTTGTCGTATATGTGTTTCATATATACATGTATACACGCACACTAGCGCGTGAGTTGTCTCGTAGTGTTATCGATCTGGTTTATCCCAGTCACGGCGCCTATTGTAAGCTGTTCGAGGACGATGCTGACCGTTTCTATCTGTGGGGCTGGGAGAGGGGGGCTTTCATATCTTTACATTAATTCAACGCCAGATCTAGTAACTTCTGTTATAGGTAAAATGCATTTCAAATGCTAAAGTAAAGAATGTATTCATGTACCTATAATCCGAATCTGTAGCCACCATCGCTGTGTGGACGTTTAACATCGACAAGCTTAGCTACACCATGAACCATTGGTAGCTAGGGATACAATTTAAACGGAATCCGATAATCCGGACAAACATTTAAACGGAATATCGGAGTTCGGACAAATATTATGATCGATAAATTTACCTACATGAAATGTGATAATGTGAAAATGAATTGAAATGAAATCTGGACAGTCCGGAAAATCATTTAGACGGAATCCGATAATCCAGAAAATCATTTAAACGGAATCTCGATAGTCCGGACAAATATTAAGATCGATAAATCTAGCTGCATGAACTGTGAGTGTATAAATTAATTGAAATGAAATCTGGACAGTCCGTAAAACCATTTAAATAGAATCTCAATAGTCCGGACAAACATTGAAACCGAATTTCATTAGTCTAGACAAATAAAAAGATAGAAAAACAGCTTCATGAAACGTCGCTATTTAAGATAAAATTTCAAACGGAATATCGATACTGCGAACAAATGTTTAAACGGAATATCGTTAGTCTATATAAATATTTAAACGGTAGATCGGCTGGACAAACACGAACGTCGACAGACAAAGGAATATAAGGTGCTGAATGTTAAGAAAAATATCTGAACGGAATCTCGATTTAATCCTAACAGCGTTATTTCGATAGTCCGGACAAACATATTCCGATCTTTGGCAGTCCATACAGCCGTGATACACCGTGCGCGTAAATCGATAAGCCAGATCTCCACGTAAACTCGTCAATCAGATGGAACTCGCCTCCTCCCCCTCCTCTCTCACCACGCATCACCAATAAATTGTTTGCTAACCCATTTGCCGATTGATAACAAAGTATTTTTAAATACGACAGCTAGAATATTTTAGTTTCTGTTAAAATACATCGATACTCGCCAATAAAAACCACCTGTACGGAGCCTCGCAATTGACCGGGTACGTCTATAACTAAACTACTTAATTAACACACCTGCCTTTCATATGGTGCTGAAGTATTTTTCCTCTGCTTATTAACTGAATAATACAATCGATGTATATCTAAGAACCGTTTATGTATATATATGTATATATATATATATGACCTAAACTATTATATCTACATTCCTACAGGTATGATGATAGTGATGAAGGGGAAGGAACTAGTATGACTGGACGAATATGGAGGGAGGGACAGCATGCTATGTGCAGCCCCATCCCAGATTTGGTAATTGTACCCGACGTCACTTCCGATCATATCCCGGAACAATACAGCCCAGAATTACTATCTATACCCGGAAATATTTGGCTGACGTCACGAAGTTCGGGATCATCAGCGCGAGCTAGTAGCATCACTTCATCAATTTTTGATCTCTCGAGTGAATCGGAACAGTTGGAAAAGGCTATCAAAGAAAATGATACGTACATAATTAAAAAAACACTTGATTTACATCATGCAAAATTCCCAATTTGTTTTCAAAAAGATCGTACTGATAGCCGAACTTCAGACAGATTAAGCTACGAGTCCCGGAGTAGACGCACTAGTAGCCGGTGCAGCCATGATCCAGGTCTAGCTGAATACGTTTTACGAAAGAGTCAAACACGAATCGATCAGTCGGAGTTCCTAGATCGACGCGAGAGTATAACAACTGATGTGGATATCCCGAATATATTTCGAACTTCTATTCATTTAGCGACAGTACACAACTCTATAGAATCCCTCGGAGTGTTATTGCGGTATGGCGTCGACCCTAGCGTTCCGAGTATCAATTTGATAACACAATCGAGTACAGCTAACGGAAATATTCATATTGATTCTGTGAAAATTAATACTACTCCCTCCTCCATCGTCAATACTAACACAACAACAACAACAACAAGCAAGTCATCGGCATTACTGCATGGACTGAAAGCCAGAAGCAACACGCTCAATGTCACAAGCGCTGGCTTTCGTCGTCCGTCGAACACTGCTGATGGTGAGAGCTTCACTTCCACTGCCGGTAATGAAGGGTTCGCATCTCCCCATACAAATACACTGCACGTGAACCTTGTTGAGGAGAACTTTAAGCATGAGGTGGAATTGTCAGCGAGCAGACGACATTCCGTTCGTTTGGCGGGAGAACAAGGCACTGTTAAAGAAATTGCGATTGACTTAGCTAGTATTTACAGTCAGGAAGAGTTGTTTAACTTACCGCCACTTTTCGCGGCCGTAGTACACGGGAGAGCTCTGATCGTCTTACTCTTACTGCAATACGGTGCCGACCCAAATGTTCAGGACAGGCATGGATTGACACCTTTACATATTGCAGTGTCCGAACAGTTTTGCAATCTTCAATGTGCGCGCGGGTTACTACAATATGGAGCTAAAATCTTAGTGAAAAACGCAAGTGGAGCGTCTCCGTTGGATATATATCCGACAATAGGAAGGGAACAACAAAATGTGATTAAGGCTGTGCTGACAGGCAAACTAGCGTTGCACTGTCTCAACGATACCGGTGGTTTTATTCATTCAAATAACAGCGAACATAGTTTCCATAGCAACCAGCTAACGGGTAGTGTACACAATTTCTTCAGGCGTTTCAACAGCTACGAACCCAAATCATCAGACTCAAGGAAACGACGGCTACGAAAACACGGAGGATCCGGTCTCGATCTATTTTACGAGGTCAGGGATCGTGTTCCTTCCATAACGTCAAGCAGAAGTGGGTTCAGCAGAATACAATCGGTCATTACCGAAGATTTTGACAGTCAAGCTTCTCTGGTGAGTGTGTCTTATTTTTAATCAATGCCTGCAATCATTTTACTCTCCCACATCCTCTCAATTTTTTCTAACATCCAATGAAACGAATTCGTAATGGTTTAAGTGAAGGCTTCTATAAATATCTTAAATTCATTTACAGTCCTGGAGCCACGAGAAGATGAAAATCATACTATAAGATTTTAGGAATAAGAACTGTAACCTTTTTTCTTTACTTTGACATTGAAATTTGTAATATAGAGAAAAAGAATTCTTTCAAGATCAAAAGTTTAGGTATAGTTTTTGAACTGTGCATGCAACATTGCATGTGAAAGGGTTATTTCATATTACATATATATATGTAATATATTTTATCAGAAGTTTTGGTATTTGTAAGATATCAATATATATATACACAGTCAAATATATTATCTTTGCCTTTCAGAGTTAAAATATTCTGATATATTATACTTGAGATATTTCATTATCAATTATACTGTGTCAAATTCTCAAATCTTATCAAAAGGTGATATTCACTTTAGTGTCATTTGTAAAATCTACCATGGTTTTGATGATTCACTTTTAACTTTGGTCCACTGAAGTGATGATATTTCCATGTTATGTATTTTATTATATACTTAGTATATATGTAGTAACATTTAAAATCAGTTTTAGGAAAGATATTTCTCATATCCTGATGAAAATATTGATATGAAATCACATTCTTAAAACAAGTGCATGACAGATTGTTTGTGAAATGTTTCTCAACTCGTCACTTGGGGTACAATTGATTCATATACAAAATGTACATGATAACTTGTTATGATATGTTATCATGCAAGTTTCTCTCTAGATTTAAAAAATAAACATGTACACATTCATTTACGAAGGGTGGTAACCAAGAGACTTTCAATTGATAAATAAATGTTTAGAACTGGATGAGTATTGTTACAATCACACCAAGCACATTTTTTTAACATGTATAGAATCTCTATGTATAAGTTTTTGATTTCACCTGTTGCACAGGCAAATGAACTTATGCTTTGTTACTTGTCTACTGGTCCTGTGTCAACTTTTCCACAAATTGACTTTTCAATGACCAGCAGATCTAGAAAGTATTAGACTCTGTTAGCATACTTGGATGGTAGGATTTTAGTTTTTACAAATAGATAACCTTGACCCACTTTCGGGATCACAGGGGTCAAATAAGTTCAAATTTTCAAAGAACTTATTTATAATGATTAAAAGGCTTTTAGGTAACAGAGACATTTGACCAGAAACATTCCTGGATGAAAGGCTTGAAAGTTTGTTCAAATGAATGATCTTGGTTGACATCATACCCTGAGAGATTGGGAAGATTATGTTGTATCTACAGGGGAGGGATGAGGAAAGAGTGAAGATGAGGGAAGGTGAAGATGAACAAGTGTCTTCAGGACAGGGTGGAGATTGTTAACAAGTGTCTACAGGACAGAGTAGAGATTTCCAAAAAGTGTCTATAGGACAGGGTGGAGATTGTGAACAAGTGTCTTCAGGACAGGGTGGAGATTGTTAACAAGTGTCTAAAGGACAAGTAGAGATTTCATACAAGTGTCTATAGGACAGAGTGGAGAGTGTGAACAAGTGTCTACAGGACAGGATGGAGATGGTGAACAAATGTCTTCAGGACAGGATGGAGAGTGTGAACAAGTGTCTTCAGGACAGGATGGAGAGTGTGAACAAGTGTCTACAGGATAGGATGGAGAGTGTGAACAAGTGTCTTCAGGACAGGATGGAGATGGTCAGCAAGAACCTACATGACAGGATGGAGAATTTGAACAAGTGTCTACAGGACAGGATGGAGAGTGTGAACAAGTGTCTTCAGGACAGGATGGAGATGGTTAACAAGTGTCTTAAGGACAGGATTGAGAGAGTGAACAAGTGTCTTCAGGACAGAGTGGAGATGGTTAACAAGTGTCTACAAGACAGAATGGAAGTGATGAACAGGTGTCTACAGGACAGGATGGAGAGAGTGAACAAGTGTCTTCAGGACAGGATGGAGAGTGTGAACCAGTGTATTCAGGACAGGATGGAGAGTGTGAACAAGTGTCTTCAGGACAAGGTGGAGATGGTAAGCAAGAATCTACATGACAGGATGGAGATTGTGACCAAGTGTCTTCAGGACATAGTGGAGATTGTGAACAATTGTCTACAGGACAGAGTGGAGTGTGTGAACAAGTTTAATCAGGACAGAGTGGAGAGTGGGAACAGGTGTTCTGATGGTAGGGTGGGGAAGATGAGCAAGTGTCAAGAGGAAAGGAGGAAAGGGTGAACAGGTGTTGAGGTGTTGGTTGATTAAGTTGAACATGTCGCTAGTGGGGGGATTGGAAAAGGTGACCATTTGTCCTGATGGAAGGTTTGGGTAGGTGAACAGGTTTCTAGGGGAAGGGGCTGATATGTTAATAAGTGTCATGAGGAAGGGTGAAGATGGTGAACAGGTGTCTGGAGGGAAGGATGGGGAAGGTCGACAACTGTCTATAAGGAGGGATTGGAAAGTAAGATAGATATCCTGCAAACCTTCGTGACTTTATGTTTGAACAATTGATTTTTGAATTTATATAGTATTGTAGTTTTCCTGCAGGATGCCAGAAAGGCCATGGACATTCAAATTTTCATTCTAAGTCTGGAGGAAGGCTTTTTGCAGGACTCTAGATGGACTTAACATCAGATATGGGTTAATCATTGATCAAACATGGTATATCAGTAAAATTCTACAGCTATATCGCTTATGAAAGCAAAACCAGCAAAGCAAAATGATCTAAAATCTGTCCTTGTTTCTGTTAGTTTAAGTGTTTTAGTCAATGATAATCAAAATAAAAAGATATTACCTATATTGATAAGTAGACATTGATGTATGGCAGAGATAGGAGCCATCCATTGACTGAATACTAGCTGGGCCTCAGGCAGTGCTATGTAATCTGTACTACTCGGTGATATTTTACAAGTCTTTGAATCATGATAGTGTCTATGTACTGTGAATGTTTCTTCACTACAAAGTATGTGACTCCATGAAAAAAAAAGATCACTGGGAAAATTGAGAGCCAAATATTCAGATGGACTGCGATAGAATGTAAAATAATGAAGATGAAGGATGGGGATTAGAGGTGTGGGGAGGGGATGGGGGTGAGGGAAGGTGGAAGGGATAGAGTAAAACAGGGGGTTGGTAGGGTAGGGATAGAGGGAGATGGTGGTGTCGGGGGCAGGGACACAGGGACACAGAAAGATTTGAGGGGAGTGAATAAGTAAGAATTGTTCAGGTTTGTTAAACAATGATATGATGTACGAGGGCTGCTGGGATGATCAAAGTTTATCATACACCTCAATCTCCAAGGCTCTGAAGTTTTATTGTCAGTGGCTTTTTATTTCTAATTTGGGCCAAGGTTTGCTGACCTGTCAAGGAAGTTTAATTATCGTTGTCAGCAGGTTGGAAGAGGACATTGAGTAAACAGTTGCAATTCTCATCAGAATGATTTTCTTTGATGTTGAATGTCATCTGTGTTTCACCTGGGACTGAGACTTAGAACCGCAGGCATGCACAGGCAACAGTGATTGGAAATCAATACCTGAACTACAGGTTACTCCCATGCTGTTTGTTTAAATTGTGTATCTATCTAACATAAATATCAAGTGTAACCCAAACTTTTGGTAGGGACAGAGTATTCATGTTTAGCAGTATGTTTATAGATTCTAAATTTTCTAATTAAAATCCATGTTAAATTAAGGTTGGTTGGGTAATGCAGTGAAAACACACTGGCCTTTCATCTGGATGTCTAGGGATCGATTCCCAGAGAGACATAAAAAGGTATGGGGTCACCAACCCACATGGATTTTTGCATTGTACTCATTGTTTCTCCCAATATAACTTGTGTCATATTTCAAAACTTAATGTATACTGCTTTTTGATGTAGAATTAGCAGTCCTGAAATGAACCCAACAGGAACATTACACTACGTCTGACTCAGAGTCTCAGGGGTGGGCTTATTACAGGACAATGAAATGTTGTAAAGGTTATTCTTAGTTTAGGTTCAAATTTTCAGTTTCACCAAAAGCTTATCGCAAAGTACCTGAATTTTTCATCAAAGCCATGTTAAACTATCAGTTCAATTTATGTATGTTTTTTTGTAAAATATCACATTTTTTTCGTGATGGCATTTCATCCTTGAAAATAATGATAAGTGGAACCCCTTAATAACAACAGTCTGTAGAGAATGTTCCCTTGGTGATATAGATTGGCTTATCATCAGACATGGACTTGCTTACAAAGTATGATGTTAGTGAAAAGAATTCTCGCTAATAAAGAATCACTGTTCATTTAGACTCGGTCTTGAACATTGAACTATATTGTGAGTAGGGAAGGTCTCTCCTAGACTCGAATGGTTTCCAAGCCATGATAGGTCAACGGGCTCTTTAAAAACCAGCAATCTTTGAATGATCGATAGTGTTTAGATATACTACAGCACTTTTATGCACTACAGATGCTGTAGGCCTGCCATAATATTTCAAGGGACACTGCCATTATTGCTGTTGCTTCTGTTTCATACGGAAATTAGATGCCTTATTTTAAGATTAAAAAAAACCAAACAAACAAGAAATGAAAATAAGATAAATACAAACAGTTTATGAGACTTTCAGTGTAGATACAGAAGCTGAAAGAAAAAGGATTTGTCTCAATCTTCCAGTATTTAAATTGTCACCAATAGGATAGCCTTATCTCTGAATGTTGCATAAGGTATCTATCATATAAATGACAGTTTCTGACATTCAATATATACATGAATGATAGCTCCTGGCATTCAGTATCAACATAAATGACAGTCACTGGCATTCAATATCTATATGAATGACAGTTACTGGCATTCAGTATCTACATAAATTACCGTTCCTGGCATTCAGTATCCATATAAATGATAGTTACTGGCATTCAGTATTCAAATAAATGACAGTTCCTGGCATTCAATATCTATATAAATGACAGTTACTGGCATTCAGTAT